TTAGACGCATGTTGTCTTGTTGCTTTCATTTTTTAATTGAGATAGGAATTTGTGATTTTTTTTTATAAGTTTAGGCATTTGGTTTTCTGAAGTTGCCTTAATGATGTGGATGGCCGTCAATATTCATTTACCTTTTTGTGAGAATATTTGATTATCTTGTTAGCTGGACAGTTAATGGTCTACATGTTATTATTTGTTGAGTGCTCTGTATTCATTATATCATGCCGATACCGTGTACATTCCAGGCAAAGACAAGATGACAAGTGGGAGCATGATCTCTACGAGAATGATGAACCACAAACTTCAAGTACGAATTGGGTGTAATTGTATCACACGTCTAAAACCCTTTTGTTAGATGGGTCTAATCCACTTTATAAGCTCTTGATTATGTTCTATTGGCTTTAAAGATCGCAAAGTTGGTGCTCGAGATCTTCGCTTGAAGCTCCAAAAGAGAAGTCAACAGCAAAGTGGAAATTCATCCTTTTCAGGAATCCGTGACCTACGTGAAAAGTTGTCTGGCACAATGAAGCCTCAAGCTGTGAATAGTGATCCACCAAAACCAAAATTGGATGTTTCAAAGCCGACCAGAAAAAATGATTCGGTTGAAGCTCGCCCTTCAACCACTCAAAAAGTTGTAGCCAACCCTGCTACTAGGAAAAAGGCTGCACAGAAGGCAAGAAACTTCCATTTCTTTTATTTTTTTTTTTATTTGTTATCTTTTTAAAGTTTTTATTAGAAAATATTCTTTCTGTCAAACGCACGATAGAGGTTGGTCATTTTAGCATTCAATTTTTGTACCTGGAAAACTTTCTTATCTGTGAAAATAATTTCTTTGAACGTTCATAGTCATTGAGAAGACTTCAGGAAGTTATTTGTTTAAGTACACCATTTTCTTATATTTACTTTTTTGCTTCATTGGCTTTTATTCTGTTGGAGCCCCTCCATCAGCCCTTCATGATATTCAGATTAGTGCATCTGGTACAGTCTACATATCTCTTAATCCCTTTTGCTGCTTTGCTAATGATTTGCAGAGACGTTCAGCCAAATGCATGTTATGTCTCGACATCTTTAGTTGAATTAAAATTTAATCGAGTTGTAGTAACCGGACTTGGAATTACCGACCTTATGTTATAGTTGATGGGCTGAGTTACCATGCGAACAATTGAAAGTCTGACGTTTTGTTTTCTACAATTTGTCTTTCCTTGATTAACATGACTTTTGATGCAGAGTGATACGTCAGTGGATGACTTCCTGCAGTCCTTGGGCCTTGAAAAATATTCCATCACATTTCAAGCTGAGGAGGTATGAAAATCTTATGTTTTCAAGGATTGTAAGCTCCTTGCTTTCAAGCTTTCAGTGTAGCTTCCCTGAACTAATTACAACTTTGAACATCTTTCATATAGGTTGATATGACAGCGCTTGTACACATGGGTGACGAAGATCTCAAGGCTTTAGGAGTTCCAATGGTAAACTTGCAAGACCTTGTTTTAATAAGTTTTTTTTATTATACATGTTCTTGGCCATCTTTTATCTTTGCTACTTGCGTAGATATGTAGCTTATTTGAACTCACTATTTACCGTTTAGCATATATTTTATAAGAAACAACACCATTGATGTATGAAATTACAAAAGAGGAGGGAGAAGGAAGTTATAAGAGACTTCTCTAATTGGACGGAAGAGACATTTAATAAGAGTGAAATAGAGCTAACAATTTACACAAATCAAAACTAAGTGAATAATGATATCCATCAGGCGACCAAAAGGTTACTCCTTGCTTGCAAAAATCCTTTGATCCCTCTCATTCCAAGTAATCCAAAGGAATGCTCTGACAAAATTCAACCATGGGTGCTTTTCTTTCTTAAATGGATTGCCTGAGAGCGTAAGGCAAGGAAACAGTATGCATCGAGCGGAAAGGGAATTGACCAACCAAATGATCGAAGAATATCCTTTCAAAAGAAAGATGCAAAGGAGCAAGTGTGGAACTTGTGGTCTTGGGTCTATGTGGCGTACTCACAAAACGTGCACCAATTTGGAGAGGCATAGATAAAAGGCTCTCTTGTATTAGATGACAATAGTGACCTATTTATGTTTCTTAAGCAACATTATTATTTGAATTCTAATATTTGAACCTATCGCGAGTAATATCAGGATGGGTGTGACCTTTAGAAAAGAAAGTATTTGATATGTTGTTATCCAATCAAAACTAATAGCACCTGAGTCTATGTAAGGGTCTAAGCCCACCGCTAGCAGATATTGTTCTCTTTGGGGCCCACCTTTACTGGCACACCCCCTCATGTCTACCCCCCTTCGGGGCTCAGCCTCCTCGTTGACACATCGCCTGGTGTCTGGCTCTAATACCATTTGTAATAGTCCAAGCCCACCACTAGCAGATATTGTCCTCTTTGGGCTTTCCCTTTCAGGCTTCCCTTCAAGGTTTCTTTAACGCGTCTTCTAGAGAGAGGTTTTCACGCCTTTATAAAGAATGCTTCGTTCTCCTCCCCAATTAATGTAAGACCTCACAGTCTACGTGTAAACTCAACAACCAATGCAGGCTAGTTCTCTCACCTTGCTAACTGTACTCTAGTGCTGTAGTGCATATTCTATTATGGAGTTTTACCAAGAACAGAGTGGAATTGAGCTGCAATTACACAAATAGGCAACAAACTAACATTGCTATTAGAAGTTCGAAACTCGCCTTAGTCAAGGTCTTTCTTCCAGACTGCGCATAAGATTTGTGGAAGAATCTTTTAAGTTTTCTGTATAAGGACAGCAGATTCATTAAACCCCTTCATGAGAGATAGCTTAGAAATAAAAAGAATTCTTGTCAATGTCAACGATTCACAACACCTTAGCAGATTCAATAAAGCAGCGCAACTCCCGTCTTGTTTGTTATCATTTTGTTCCCTCGTTTATTCGTTTAATGCGTGGAATCACGAACCTCGTACCTAAGTTATCAGCTCTGATTTCAGGGACCAAGAAAGAAGATCCTGTTGGCATTGGAATCAAGAGTCTGAACCATGGAAAGTGAGTGGAGTAAACTCCCTGTTCGCCAGTGTTTTATTTTATACCAGCCGTGATACTACTGTGAAGAACAAGAAGGGGCCGTCGGCCATTGTAACTCTGGTTTCCTCTTTTCATTTTTTCTTTGGCTTCCATTTTTTTCGCTGCTTGATGTGAAGGACCTAAAAAATGTTTAGCTATGGATAGAAATATGGGATTCAGTATATATAGCGGCTCAGCTGAGAGCAACTCTCTTTTGACACACTTTCCATGGCCATCAGCGTTTGAGATATTAAGGTCTCTCCTGCTTTTGTGGTTGCCTTTCAGTGTTTCAATATTCCATACTTGTTATAAGCACCACTGCAGAGTTTTTAGGCAATTTGTAATGTTAAAAACTAGTCATTTCGATCTTTGTTCTTCGAATTTTAATTCTTTTCGGTTGTATCATACTATTCGATGTCTAAATTTAGTTTTTGTACTTTTAATTTCGCTCTAAATTGGTCTCTAATTGTTAAGTTATTGGTAACTTTTCTTCATAAAATTTTTAAAAATGTGTTTTTTTTTTTTTTTTTTTTTTTTCAT